CGCAGGGGGGGAGGACGAAGCTGAAGGGAAACCGAGATGGAAGAGAGGGGGAGAACATACCTGGAGTTGCAGCGGCCGATGGAGTTGCAGCGGCGAGAAAGTGTCAAGCGGTGAGGAAGAGACGGAGGGCGAGGAAGAGACGGAGAGGCCAAGGAAAATGGAAGGGTTGGGGAACGGGGGGTTAGCAATTGGTTGGAGGTAGGTAAAAACTTTATTAGGTAGGTATTGGTAGGTAATTGGAGGTAGGTAATTGAAGGTAGATAAAGTAAGGTAATGAGTTAAAAAATTTTGTTTGGATGTTTATTAGGTAACGTGAGGTAGGAAAAGAATAAAATTACTAAAATATCCTTATGGTTGTTTTTCTTTATTTGTTTTTCGGGTCAAAAAATTTATTTAAATTAAAAAAAAATTAGTATGGACTAAATGCATAAGATGAATCTGAAATAGAATTATAGAAAAAATTAGTATGGACTCAATCTAATAGAATTATAGAAAACGTAGTACTAAAAAAATGCACAATTATAGAGAAAAACAGGAGAAAAGCCCAGAAAAAAGCACAAAAAAAAGAACAGAAAAAAACCAAAAAAAACCGAAAAAAAGATGAGAAATGAAAACTGAAAAAAGGGAAACAAAAAAAAACGAAAACTGAAAAAGAAAGCTGGAAACTGAAAAAAGTGCAAATTGTAATATGCAGATGAAATTAAAATTTGGAAATTGAATTTTGGAAAAAGTGAAAATTGAGAGCAGAACGAGAAAAGTGAAAAAAACAATCTGAAAATTGAAAAAAAAGTAAAAATTGATGTGCAAAAAAAATTAAGGAGATGGCTATAGAAATTGAAGAGTATAGCCGCCACCATAGCAGAACAAAACAAGTACGGAGTATGTAAAGCTTATCTGAATTGAGCTGCGAAGGAGCATGGCGATCGAAATTGAAACAAAAAAAATTAACTACGCAGCGGAATTGAAATTTATGGCGAAGTAGAGCAGATCGAAAAAAAGTGAACATTGAACCAGAAGAAGATGACGATCAGAATACCTTTGGCGATAGGAACCGGAAGAAGATGGCGATGGAGATGGGAAGATGCTGATTGATTTTCGTGCGATTGGGTGAAGGCCGAAGGGTAGCAGATAGTTGATTACCTCGATGTTTTGCTGGCGGTCATCCAAAATACACTGTTCAGAGGTAACCCTACCTCTCCCTACCTCCCCTTACCTCTCTTTACCTATTTCAATTTTTGTTACCAAACAAGGTAGAAAGTTTAATCTACCTCTCCCTACCTCCCCCTACCTCCAAACAAACATAGTGTAAGGAATGGGAATGGAAAACCCTACGAGGGGGAATGGGAAAAACCTAATGAGTGTAATCAAAAACCTAAAAATGGGGAAATGGAATGAATTTTTTTAAAACAAACAACAACAAAGGGAATCAGGGAATCTCATTCCGATTCCCCTTACCCCCGAACCAAACACCCCCTAAGTGCTGTTGCTAGAGAGTCTTTTCGAAATGCTAACACTAATATCTAATGTTATTGACTAATATTGAGTAAATTTGTTTGAAACTATTCAATTTAACTCCTAAACGAATAAAATTTATTGTAATTGGATGAAATTAGGATAAAATCTAGTTATTCCGTACAATTCATTATTCATCATAAAATCCTTTCGTCCCAAAAAGAATATCACATTTCAGTATTCAAAAATTACGAAAATGTTATTTATTTGTGCGTTATCATTTATTATTTGATAAAATAAACTATTATTCTTGTAACATCTTATTTTGTAAAATTTTTGACATATTTTTTCAAATATGTAGACATTTTTTTTATTTCTATACCAATCTTAAAATAAAATAAATTTTAAAAACTTAAAAATTTTGCTTTGTTTTGCATTATGGTAGCATTCATTCTAAAATTTAGGAAGCTTTTTCTTCAAAATAAGATTGTTTTCATTAGATTTTGTAACTTAACTGGAATTAGTACTGTATTTTTCATATAATATCTAATCAAAGACTTAATTTTTTATCAATTCTTCTTATATTCAAAATTTTCCCGTTTCCTTTTCATTTTCCACGCGTAATTTTATCAATTTTCTTAAGCAACCAATCACTCATTTCTCAATTTTCATTCACCTTCAACTCTTTAGACTTTATTTCTTTCAATTGATATTTCACCTGGTTTTTCAAATATTTTATTCCCTTTAATTTTGTTAATAACAAAATAGTTGGCTCATCATCCAAAATTTTATATGTATGTATTACTTTCAATTTCTAAATATAATAAATTTAAGGCATAAGATTTTGTAATTTTTTTAAGATGATAATCCATTTTATGAAGGAATAAGCAAGCAATGTAATTAGTTCAAATAGTAAAATAAAAATAAAAATTTAAAAATATAATATGCTTATTGAAAAGCAAACACAGTTCCGAATTTATCGGTTTTAGTTCTAATCGGGTTTGGATATCATCGATTTCAGATTTTATTTGTTTCGGGTAGTATTGGGTTCGGATCTAATCAGTTTCGAATTTTAATCGGTTCGGAAATTATCGATTTCGAATCGAATAAGTTTCGGATTTAAATCGGATATGAATTATTTAGTTCAATTTTAGTTCGATTTCGGTCATTTCAGGTTTTTGGTTATAGATTAGATATTCATTTTTGAGGTGATTTCGATTTCGATTTCAGATAATTCAGTTCCGGTAATCGATTCCGGATCTGCTTTGCCAGGTCTAATGGCAACTAAACCCATTATCATAAAAATGGTTATATGTTTTATTTAAATAAAATTGTTATATGAATAAAAAGTCTGTATTGATTTTTATTCCTTAAACTCTGTAATTTGGAATAGTTGATGAGAATGTACAAGTTTAGGTGTTACATATTAGGGAGTACATTTTGCTTTTTGGTTGACATTTTAGTCTATATATGTGATTTAGTGTTTGAATTGATTAGTCATTTGGGGATGTGAGCTATTACTGAGTAGACCAAAAAGAAAGGGGTCAAGGGCAAAGATAGGAGTAAAATGGGTCACAAAAGACAAATAGGAGTCACACGCCCAGCCCAACCTTATATGAGTAAATTACAAAGGAATTGCCTATTTTACCCGTGGCAGCAATGGCATGTTAGTTGGTAGAGAAATTAAAATAACCAAGTAGGCATTGGTTTCATTTTCTATTGGAAGATATGAGGACGAGATTTTATGCTATGTACCACCTATGGCCACTAATCACTTGATTTTTGGGAATCAATAGAATTTAATAAGAGAGCTATGCATTATGAATGTGAGTCTCTATACCAATTTTCTTTAGTACTAAGTGTTTTTTCTCGCTCACAAGTCTATCTACATATTGTGTCTTTTTTTCTTCTTCACAAGAAGAACTAGATTTCATAGATTTTGAGTAAATTCGTGATAAGAATTTATTTAGATTATGAAAGACATGATATTTCTGATTTTTCTATATTGAGGGATACTAAAAGTCCATCTTTATAATTGGAGATGCTTAGTATGAACACTTACAAATCAATGTGAACATTATGCAATTGACAGATACTACAAGATGATTACACTTTGGGATTAAATATACCCACGCAAAGAAAGTAGAATTATGGTGAAACTAGTTGGAGCTCTATACTAATTAATTGAAAAGATGAACAATTCAATTATTTCACACCTAACAAAAAACACATTTTTGGAAGTGAATACCCATTCGGATGGTCATCCACTTTGTACCCTTTCATTCGAAATACATCCAAGTTCCGTTACCATTCCCACATTATCAACTTATGATAAAAGTCTTCAAGCTAGTTTATGTTTAACTTGACAACTCCGTAAAATATACAACACAACACGCCTTTGAGTATTAACTTTTAATCATGATAAATATCTTCAAACTAACCTAAATAGATGAAGCTAAACTTTCAGAAATGGTTGACAGGTTGAATCTTCGTAGACACTTCGTACATTTGCAACTTGCAAGAGAAAGAGGGAATTGATTACAAAGGACATGCATTATCTGCTCTTTCAAAGCCCTTGCTGCAAATTTCCTTATAATGTTTGGCCAATAACTTCAACTAGAAACAAAAAGAGAACTAACACAAATCAGAAAGTAATCATAAAAAAAACAAGTCTACAGATCCCAAAGAAATTACTTATAAAGTAAGGTAATGAAAATAAAGTTAGCTGAAAGACGTAACCTACATATCCAAAAGAAATTAGGGTCGCTTCAATGATAAACTAAGTTACCCTACAAAGTAGCTTCAATAACATGCTGCATCTATAGGTGTATTTTCCAAATTCGAATTCCATATGCTTCCCGAAAATGGATACCTGTTCCGATTCGAATTCCATATGCTTCCCGAAAATGGATGCATAAGCCAAATGTTCTACTTCAACACACTTATCCCCTGCAGTACAAAGAGGGGAAGCAAATTAAAACTCAGAATCAATCATTGTGGCTGTCCAGCAATCTTTTACACCAAAACAAATTCCGCTGTCAACAAATGTAGCTTGGTGACACCATTCGCAGAATCTGTCATACAATAATTAAATTAAAATTTCATGAGAAGAGAGAACAGCACAGAGACGGATCATACCTAGATACTTTGCCAACATGATAGAAGTTGCATATATGTGATAAGGAGGATTGGCTCCATCAGCTTTGCTTGATCCTTCCTCGAGCTTCATCCACGAAGGAAGAACTGCGAATGACAAAGAATAAAGGGATGCCAATGCAAATCAACAATGAGCAAAGGTAAATATGGCTAAGACCCTTTTCTTTTCATCTGAAATTCAATTACGTTCAAAAATTTCAGTGACTTTCAGTTCAGTTCAACAAATTCTCAATTTTCAGTTCCTTCCATTATTTTCAGTAACTTTCAGCAATTTCAGTTAATAAAAAATTTAGTTTCTTTCAGTTCAGCTCACCAATTCTGCAATTTCAGTTCTTTACAGTAAATTCAGGAGAAGAGGACAGGGCCTAAGTTTGGAATAAAATATCTGAGCACACCCAAGTTAGGTGATCAACCAATTTTGGAGAGTTACCAAAAAAAATTTCCTGAAATGCCCAAACAAAGTGCTCTCTTCTGATAAAACGGGCACTTTCGGCTTTACGGCAACATTCAGCTAGTTTGATCAGACATTCCACTTCTTCCGACGAATAGCAATCAAATGCAATAAGCAAATGCATAAATGGTTGAATGACCCAGTGTATACCGGCCATAAACTGTAACAGAATGTGAAAGAAAATCACACGCGTACTCAACATACTTAGCAAAGGGTGGACGATCATAAAATGCAAACCCAAACTGTTTGGACGATCATAGCAAGTATTCTCTTTTTTCAGGAAAAAGGGAAAAGGAAGAAGGAATTAGAAACAAACAGGAATCTTGTACTCATACCAAGCGTCTTTTGCTGATAACCTCATCCCAAACAAGTCTCTTTACAAGAGAAAGAAGATCCTCTTTGGAAGACTCAATTGCATAGTTACAAAAGAATTCAGACAGCTCCTTTGCTTCGATTTCATGGAGCGTGTCGGTGACAATTTTGACTGAAATATCGATAAGGCACATTTCCTGTGTGGTAATAGTGCTACCATCCAGAACGTTGCGAAGTAATTTTCTAAAATCAACCACCTATCACAAGACATTCATGGAGCAAAAATGTTATCTTCAATGAAAAGCTATTGTAAAACCAAGGTTTTGAAGTTAAATCATAAATAGAACAGGTAGTCTCAACTCTCAACCGGCATTATTAGTCATACAACAGCTAATTTAAAATATCTCTAAATAGAACAAGAATTTTGTTTATAGTTTACTCAGAAATGACCACATCAATGCTTGAAAAGTGGAGCATGATCCAGGCCCACTGAAATCAACAACTCAACAATAGTGCATCCTAATCTAAATGACCTGGAGAACCATTCAAAACATGTACCAATGCATCTTCTTCCTCTCTTTACTCTTCATATCTTAATGCTGCTGCATGTTGCTAAATTTGTAGAAAGGTTGTCATTGACCAGTGGATAACGCTAAATTCAAGTGTTTGTTTTGGTTCTTATTTTTTACGGAGAGCCCTCCTTGGAAGGTACGTCCTTCCTCTTTAAACCCAAATTATACACACGCACACACACACACATATGTTATAATTAAATTTTAATAAAACATAACACAAGTTCAATCACAAATGACTTAAAACTTTATTCTTAAACATCTAAAACATAATTATCAATGCTAAAATCATAATCCTCAAGCAAAATGGGGTGGCTGAAGTAGGGATTGATATTGTAAGAGAGTTGTGACTGATAAATAATCGCAAAACTGCAGAAGGAAGCAGAAAAGGAAGGCTGATAAATAAGAGTCCCAAATCGGCAGATAAATAATAGAAGCAGATTGGGAATGGCGATTAGAAGCAAATTGGGAGTCAGAGTCCCAAATAAATAGAAGCAGATACACACGCTGGGTTTGGTCTTTGGGAGTCGTGACAGACGTGACTTTCCAATTGAAATTCCTGACAAATTCAAAGTTGCGATTGGGAGTGGATTTTGAACCGATGCTGCATTTATGCCTTTGGGCTTCTCACAATCGCTGATTGATTGCGATCTTGCAATTTCACGAGCCGAATCGCCGATCTGGCCGAGTCCACTGAATTTCCACTGGTGGAATCGTACGAGTCAGATCACGAGTTTGTCTACCATGGCGAGGAGCAACCTAAGAGGGGTATAGTACATGAATACATAGTTACCGATCGGACCCGATATCATATTCCCAAAAACATTGTGTAAAACCAGATTCCAGAAGATAAAATCAAATAAGGATATAATGCGTTGAGGTTGCTAAACTAAAAAATGCATGTTATCCTAAGCCGTTTTCTTCATTTTAATGGGGCCAATGATTCACTATTTTTTCAGTGTGAAATATGATGGATTAAAGTAAAATGACTTACTAGCAATACTTATCATTTGGTCAAATATTTGACCACAGAGTAAAAAAACAAGAAAGTTGTGCAATGGGAGGGGATGCAGGGGTGCGTTAGGGCCGGTCAGGGATGTGGGGGTTTACCAGGGGTTAGGGCCAATCAAGTAATGAGTCCATACACACAATACACACCGGCCAATAGGGGGTATAGCAATAGTTATATTCATGCCACCTGGGTCACACTTTTCATCAAAGTCAACTGCTCTCAAATTCTCTGGTATCACTGTGATCAATAGCAATACATGTCCTGGTCATAAAGGCCAAAATGTAATATTATGTGCTTTGCATTCGAAATGGCGTATTGTGGTTTTGAGGTGTTTTTTCCCATCGCATATTGCATAAGCCTCGAGGCGTATTGAGGCGTAAGCGTCATTTTAAAGTATCAAGATAGTAAGATGTACATCAAATTCTATTAAAATTGAAGACAGAACATTATTAATAATATAATTAATCCATAAACATTAAATAAGTATATTGTTAAAGTAAAATGTTGCAAAAGAAACCAAGTCTACCATGACATAGTACAAAATATTGGTTGTAGGCAAAAGACTTGAATTGTCGAGAGCTACGTCTAACATTTAAGCAATATGTTTTACTAAAAAGGTAAAACTTAAAAGTTTATGTGCATATAGTTTTCAAGTTTTAATGGCAAATTGGTAACAATAAAAACTAAAAGCAATAATTTGATACCAAATTAGTGAGAATAAAATGTTATCATTAAACAAATATAAACAAATAAAAACTAATAAAAGAAGGGGAGACTGAAGGGGGAGATGAATTCATGAAGACTACTAAAGAGGGATGAAGTCGCAGATGAAGAACACAGAGATGAAACATAGGATACAAGAGGAGATTGGATGTATCATGTATGGATAAACTAGGGTCGGTAATTTAACGTTTAAATTTTTCTAATTAAATTACTAATTAAAATTTTATCTAAACTTTTAAAAAATGGTGTATGCCTCATTGCGTAGCCTTCTTGCGCCATAACTTCGAAACCCATATGGCTTATGGCTAGATTGCCACAAGGAATTTTTCTTCAAAAAAAAGACATGAGGCGGGCAATATGGCGTGTTGCGCAATGCCATTTCAATCATTGGTGCTTTGATCTTGAATCTCTACCTAGGAAACCTATGTATCATCGAAACGGAGACGGGGCCGGAGACGAAACAAAACGGAGATGCAAAACGGCTATTTTTAAAAAATGGAGAGACAAATCGCTGGGGAGACACCGAATTTATAAATAAATAAATAAATAAATAAATAAATAAATAAATAAATAAATAAATAAATAAATAAATAAATATGCTGTGTATAATGTAATGTTTAAAATTGTGTATAATAAAGAAAGGCATATAACAAATTCATAACATCCAAATAAATTAGAAATAGGTATAAGGTCACATCTTATGATTTTTCTTCAATTAAGAATAACTTTAAAAGACTAAAAGGCTGGGAAGTGGGAAGGTTTTAGGGTAAAGTCCTTTACTTCTCTCCATTAAATAAAAGCCTAGCAGCCGTGACTCTTCCGATAATAACACTAGTCGTAGAGGAAAGAGAGTTTCTGGGAGACGAATCAATTCAAAAAGGTGAGCGACTTTCTCTTATTTTTCTTCTTCTAATTTTCGACTTTTTCCCCTTTTCTATTGTAGCTGCAATCCAATCGTACAATCTCGTCTCCCACCCGTTTCTGAAAAGGGAGACGTGTCTCCCCTGCGTCTCCCAGATTATTTTTAATATTTTAAATTAAAGAAACACCACGTGGAATTTCTAAGACGTTTTTTGCCATCTCCCATGCATCTCCAGTCCAAGGTCTCCGACACGGATAAGTGTGGCCTACCTGGTGTTTCTGTGCAACATAGTGATCTTCATGTTTCTTACTAAGACACCACACTTGAGAACCACATTGTTATAGTATTGCTACACTTTCACAATATGACCTCTTTAAAGCCCAAATGATGATCTTCAAGCACATAGCCCTTGCTTTTTTCAATACTCTCAAAGTCAGCAAAGTTCAAATGGGTCCTTGTTAGATTTAATCGGGTATGTTCACATATACCCGAATGGGTAATGAGTCGATGTTCGGGTTAGTTAGTATGGTGTCGTTTAGTGTGTTTTACATATTTAATTAATTAAAAAAACAACAGTGGGTAGCTTCTAAAAGGTAGTCATGGGTAGTTTCTATTGTTAATAGGTGTGTTGGTTTGTAATAGTTGTGTTGGTTAGTAAAAGTCGTGTTGGTTTGTTTTCTATTTATATTTAGAGAACACAAATAATCTTGTACAGTTTACAACAATAAAATAATCTATTTTACTTTAATCTGGTCCTGTCTCACAAATGGTATCAAAGGGAGAGGTCTACCTTGTGCCTTGTGAAAAGAAGGTGTGTGATCGAGAGCAAAAGGGCTGCCAGATCATAAAACAAAGCGTTAGAGACTTCCTTGACACCAGATCAAAAATCTTCGACAAGATTCTTCCTCGCCTAAGACAAAGAATAGCAAGAAGCTAGTTTTTTCTTTTGGCAGAAGCATTCCAACCAAATAGTGCTGGAAAAATGAATCGGCGGGTAGCTTTCATTTAGTGTCTTGGAAGATGAAAAATCAGGGGCTGGTCTTCTGGTTGGTGGTCGATTGCAGGTGGCTTACGACCAAGGAAGGAATCAAAGTCTAAAAATTTGTGAAAATTGTCATAAGAATTAAAGTCACAATAGACAAATTGTGACTACAAGGGAGAATACTTCACTATCTTTTACGGTTCCAATTCTAACTGCTACAAACTACACTATTTGGGCCGTGAATATCAAAGCAATTTTTAATGTTAATGGGATTTGGGAGGTGATCGAACCAAGATTAGAAATTGATCCAAAGAAGAACAATATGGCAATAGCACATCTGTTTCAAGCTTTGTCGGAAGAGATTGTGCTACAACTTGCTCAGTTTACTGAAGCAAAAAAAAATTGGGATGCTTTGAAGCTCGCTTCGTTAGTGTAGACAAGGTTAAAGCAGCACAATTACAGACACTTATATCAAATTTTGAGACTCTAAAGATGAAGAACAATGAGCCGCTTGATATTAGTCAACTTGCAACACTAGAAAACAACCTTGGGTCTGCATTTGAAGACAAATGATTGGTTTGAAAGCTTTTGGGTTCTATACCTGAAAAGTTCATAGAGATATTTCCTGCAATTTTCTGACATTAACACAATGTCGTTCCAAAGAGTGGTTGGAAAATTGAAAACGTTTGAGGAAAGCATCAAAAAGCCAACTGAGGAAGGAGATACACATGGTAAACTACTATTCACTAAAGGTGATGAAAAAGAGAAGGTTCAAGAGCACAAATGTGAGCATTGTGGTTGCTGGAGCTCAAACCGAGAAGACTTTGGATGTGGCCAAGGTAGAGGTCAGTGGTCCGAGAAAGGTCAGGATGGTGGTCGGTTTCAACGGGATAAGAGTCACATTAAGTGTCTCAGTGCAATGAGTTAGGGCATTTTTTGAACGAATGTCCAAAATGGGATCAAAAGGAACAAATTGCAAATTTGATTCAACATGATGAACCAACATTGTTGTGAAGATCAGTGTGAACAAACAACGAATAAGGGCGTGATTGTTAGATTTAATAGGGTTTGTTCACATATACCCAAATGGGTAATGAGTCCATGTT